CGGCTCTTCACGGTGCCGACCGAAACGCCGGTATGCTCGGCGATCGTCTCGTAGGGCAGGCCCTCGAGGACGGCGAGGAGCAGAGCCTCGCGCTGGGCCGCCGCGAGCTTACCGAAACGCCGACATGAACTCGCGCATGACCAACCCGCTGTCCTGGTGAGGGGGATGAGAGAGAGTCTCCGCGATCGCGGTATCGACGGGCACGGTCGGGCGGCGGCGGCGCAGGCCGGAGATGAATTCGTTGCGCTGGATGCGGAACAGCCAGGCTGCCAGGTTGGTACCGGGCTGGAAGCTGTTGCGACCGGTGAGAGCCTTGATCACGGTGTCGTGGACCAGATCGTCCGCCTGATCGCGGTCACGCGTCAGCGACAGAGCATAGATGCGCAGGCGGGGCAGGATCGTCTTCAGCTGCTCGTGGAAGTCGCCGGCGTCCTGGGTCTGCGTGGTCATATAGGTGTCTCCCGAGAAATTGTGTCGTCTGGTGAATGAAGGCCGGAGACGCCATTTGGTTACATCGCCGTAGATGTATTTTTGTATGACCTTGAAAACAAAGAGAAATCCGGCGCTTTTTATTGCAGCTTCTCGGAGAGAAACTTGCGGGCGCGTGAGACGCGCGCTTTGAGAGTGCCGACGGAACAGCCGCAGAGGCTGGCGGCTTCTTCATAGGAAAATCCGCCGGCACCGATCAGCACCAGCGCCTCGCGCGACTGTGGATTGAGCTTCCAGAGTTCCGAGGAAAGTTCCTTCAAGGCGAGCGTCGCCTCCGGATTGTCCACTGCGGGAAGCGGTGCGGCAGCTTCGTTGTCGATGGTGAGAGGGCGTCGTCGCAGCGTACGCAGATCGGAATAGAAGCGGTTCCGCATGATCGTGAACAGCCAGCCCTTCAAATTGGTGCCAGGCGTGAACTGCTCATGTTTGTCGAGGGCCGCTAGAATGGTGTTCTGCACGAGATCGTCAGCAGATTCCCGCTCGCGGCACATGAAGCGCGCAAATGCACGCAGGTCGGGGAGAAGCGCGACGATCTCTTCCTTCATCACATTCTCACTTGGGGATCATGCGGTCGGCGTGAAAGGGCAAATCGCACCGGCAACCACATCTAGGCGTTTTTGTTGTGAGTCCGGTACCCGGAATCGGTTCGCGAGGAACCATGGTGATGTCCGTGCGTTGTGGCAGGGACGATTAAACACGCCTTCACGGATCAAAAGAGGATCTCATGGGACGCGCAGCTCTGCTTTGGTTTCTGGGGGTTCCGATCCCCGTGCTTCTGCTGATGTGGGTGCTCGGCTGGCTTCATTGAAGCGTGAATACAAAAGGGGAAATATTATGAGAATTCTGGTGACGACCTCGGCGGTGCTTTCTCTTGCCTTGTTGACGGCTGCCTGCGGCAATCGACCCGTCGACCGGGCGCTCACGGGTGGCGCCATCGGGGCCGGGACAGGCGCCGTCGTGGGTTCCACCGTCGGAAACCCGGTCGCCGGCGCGGTCATTGGCGGTGCGGCGGGCGCCACGATAGGCGCGGTGACGGCCCCGGAGCGATAACCTAAAAGATGGAGACGAGGCGATACGGACGGGTGATTTGGGCCCGTCCGTAAGCATTTGTCAGGGCGGGTGCGGTTGCCGGGACCAGTGCCGAGTTTGTCACCGGTCGCACACGGCGTACTGTAGGCGTTGCAAGCCGCAGGGCGTGACGCGAGAAACGACTTTCGAGTGATGAGGGAGATCGACGTGGCTGAAGAGCAGGTAGCTTCCAAGAAAGTGTCGGAAGCGATCACCAGGACGCTTCCTTTCCTGCGTCGGTACGCCCGGGCCGTCACCGGCTCGCAGCAGCAGGGCGACGAATGGGTTCGCCTCTGCGCTGAAGTTGCCGTTCAGCAGCCGGAACTGATCGCCGAGGCCGAGGATACCAAGGTCGGCGTGTTCGCGCTGTTCCATCGCCTGCGCCAGCCGTTCGGGGATATCGAGGAAGCGGCCGCCGGTGGCGAGAGCGTTCGCGGGCGGCTGAAGGAATCGCTGACCGACATGGCGCCGATGCAGCGCCAGGTGCTGCTGCTCACCGTGCTCGAGGGCTTCACGGTCACCGATGCCGCTCACATCCTGGGTGTAAGCGTCGACGACGCGGAGCGCAGCCTCGAGGAAGCACGTCGCGAACTGCAGCGTGTCGCGTCTGTCCGCATCCTCGTGATCGAGGACGACGCGGTCATCGCGCTCGACGTCGCCGACATCGTGCGCAACGCCGGCCATGAGGTCGTGGGCATCGCTGCTACCGAAAAAACCGCCATCGAACTGGCCAAGAAGCACTCGCCCCATCTCGTGCTGGCCGACATCCAGCTTCGCGGCTCGGACAGCGGCATCTCGGCGGTGAACCAGATCATGAAGTCGATGTCTGTTCCGGTGATTTTCGTCACGGGCTTCCCCGAGCGGCTCCTCACCGGCAAGCAGGTCGAGCCGGCGTTCGTGATCTC